TTGTTTTCTCATCATAAATGTTGGTCTCAAATATAGTTATCTATGTAACTATGTGCGTACCTAAGATTCAGGTGAATAGCTGAATATTTGTTCATTGTTAGGTGTGAAAAATGTTGCTTGCATATCAGTCAGAATAGTTTGCATTTAAAGTCTCATATACGAAATGCAAAGCATTGCAGGAATTTTCAAATTAGATGACAGTTTGGTTCTTCCTGAAATGGATCCACGGTTTTGTGTGGCTTTTCAGTTCCTGGGTTTACTGTATTAACTAACTAACTTCAGATTAAGTTACAAAATTGCAAGGTCTAATGCTACATTCTTTCTAGTGAAAACAGTGCTTGGCGTCTGTAGTATGACCAAAAGTATTGCAGCCATGTGCAATGAATTTGTGATCTTCCCTTTGAAGCGGTTGGTTAAAAGACCAGGACAGTGTCAATAATTATCTTCAAAGTGAGTATATTGGAACCAAATAGTGCCAAATATTGGAACACTTACAATCAGCTGCCAAAAGCAAAAAATGCAATGCAGTCTGGACAATCAGATAATTCCTAGTTGCAAGGAAGATGTCATCTTTTTGCTCTAATGTGGCTGAGCCATAAGTCTGCTTGTGTCCTGCACTTGAGTCTAACCACCACAAGCGATCTGTGACCATGGCAAAGGGGCAATTTTAATCCTCCATGCTCTCCCTGCTCACTGAGAGATGCTTTATCTAAACAGGACACATGTGAAAATCCCATACAAAATTAATCTTAAGTTCAGTTGAGGGTATTCACACTGGAAATGTTAAAAGAAGAGATGGGGCATGAACTAAAGTCAGACAGTTTATAATGAAACAATCTCCCCAAGTTTCCCAAAGAAGGGAAGGAGCTTTGGTTAAAGAATAACAACAAAATACTTCTGCCGTAAAGACAGTCATCACTCACACAACGTGAGGACAGTTGAAGGTCACAGAGAGGTCGCAGTCTATGGTCTTCCATCATTGTAGTGTGGTGAAGCACGTGTCAGAAAACTTCAGTACGTATTTTTAAACAGATCACAGATGTATAAATCTTTTTGTACTCAGTGTACAAGTTTTTTGTGCTATAGTAAAATATAATTTTTAACACAGCATTAATGCTAACTTATACCAAGAAAAGCTTAAAATTAGTGGGTATGCAAAGGATTTAGCTTAAGGCCTATTTTTAGTTTTTTCTAAGCTGTCTTTTTAATTTAATCATTTAATTCTAATGAGAAATGACCTGTCCAACAACAAGCTTGGGTCTATATATGATATAGCTATTAAATTTGAGGAATAAAGGATTCATTATCCTTAGTACTATAAAAAACAAAAATAAAAAAAAATTATTTTCTTTTAAAGAGAATCGTGCACTATTATTTTCTTTTAGCTACTCTATCAAGATTTTTTCCAGAAACCTACTGCCTCCTGCATGCTGTATTTTGGTCAAAAGGTGTGTTTGTGTTAAATACAAATAACATGTAGTGAACATGATAAACATGAAGTGAAATTAAATACCTATGTGCAAGAGCTTGATCAAAGTGAGACTGGTCCTGTTAAATCAGGAGACAGCTGTGTTTCTTTGAACTCAAGTAGCCCTCACTTTGAAACACGTCGCCAATGATGATTCATTAACAACCCCAACAATGATTTGTCCAAAATAAATCTAGGGTGGTTATTAAAGGCTCTTCTGCCAGGGGCACACAGAAAAACGTTAGTTCTGTCTGAAGAGACAAGGTGTGTTTCAAACTGAAAAAGCGGGACTTCCACAAGTGACCTCAGAAGACAACAAACTGTGAGTATAAGATCCAGAAACTTCCTAGAAACTCTTGCCGCTCTGATGTTTCTAAAACTGAATAACTTTAACCTGCTTTAACCATCTTGAACCAACTTTAACCCGTGATGTGGTCAACACAAAACTATGCAAATCATTTTAACTAGTGAATGTAATTTTTTAAAACATTTTGAATAAAAGTATAACTGCTTAACAAATGTAAAGCTGTTAAATGATTGTTGTTCTGCTTCAGTTAGAACTCACATTCAGGAAAACTCACATTCTTGAGTTCGGATTAATTTTGTTCGATCTGGACTTAAATAGTAATGAAAAGCTGAGAATTTGATTTGAGTGATTTGATTTATTGGGAGTTAGATGTTCATATATGGTACTATTTCTTAATGTACAACAACAGGTTTGATGTTTTTTTATTCTGTTGATCGCAGGTAAACAAAATTTTTGTATTGTGTTTCAGAACAGTCACTGTTGGGGTTTTTACTTCAGATAGCTTTCACTCAAACCTCTCCAAATGTGTTCTAAAGGCACTAAATTAACAGTTTAAATGTGGCCAGTTTTTCAGGACTGTGTATTAGAGATGGCACGATACCACTTTTTTATGTCCAATACCGATACCGATATCATAAATTTGGATATCTGCCGATACCGATATGAAAATACACTATATAATATAGTGTATTTTTTAATCAATAAAACTGTTTTTTTAATATATTGCTGCATTTTGTATAAGTTAATGCTCAAGTTTAAATAAACAACAACACTAAAGCTATTCTGTTATACCTGAATGTAAAAAATACACTGCACCCAAAATATTTCATAGTTCAGCAATACTGATCTAATCAACTTAAACCTACTCCATCCTCCCTATTCTGGTATTTTAAAGAGTACGTAGCAGAAATATTAAGCAAGCTAACTAATAGGGTTGCAAACTCCCAGCAAAAAAATAAATAGGGAACCACCCCCCACCCTCCACCTCATGATTCTTAATCGACATAATCAACTTTAATTTGATGCAATGTGGGGAAAAAATGCACAAAATAAATTATTTTTCAAGAATAATTAAATAGATTCAACATCTTTCTTCAACAGAATTGCAGACTTCACAGATCGTACCTTCCCAAAGGAAAAAGTACTATAGCTTACTAGGGTATATTAGACTTAACAGTTACTATATACAGAGTAATGGACTTCTATATATTTTACATAAGATTAAAACTTTGGGTTAAGATTCAGATAATTATTTATTAAAAAGTTAGACATTTTAAATGAGAATAAGAAAGAAAAGTATGTCTTTGTGCCCCCCTTTTCACTGTTAATGCCCTATCGGGCCCCCTGGCTAAACTTTGCTAGATCCGCCCCTGCACAGTTACCAGCCGTCAGCTACGTAGAAAAGGATCCTGGTGTAGAAAGTAATATTAAATAAATTCTAACAACAGCTTATCAATAGATATCTGATTCAGTAATTTACGTCAGTATCGGACCGATACCGATACGTGATATCGGATCGGACCATCTCTACTATGCATATAAGTGCTCACCTAACACATAAGCTAAACAATCAGTGACTAATTCACTGCAGATAAATATGAACACTCCTTTCATTATCAAAGAAAGGTCAGTAAAACAAAAGACATCGTGTGTTTCGGGACTGTTGCTGTGCCCTGACTTCACAGCAGTCTGAACAGCTGACAGCTGTGGAGCTAAAGGGCCGGTTAGTGGAAAGTGTCCTGAGAAAAAACAAGAAACAAGGGCAGCGGGAGAAAATGACTAGAGGAGTGTATACTACACAATAGCAGATACTGACTTCATGTTTCCTAATCATTAAACGCGGATTAAACGGGATGTGATAGCTCTGGTTTCTGTTTTACTGAATTTTTTCACATGTACTTGAGGTCACTGCTAAAAGAAAAAATGTTTAAAAAGCTGTTCTTAATTATTTTCTTTAGACTTCCAAAATAACATTGCACCGTATCCAAGGTCACTTCAGTAGTGGGCATTGAATGGTACTTAAATGGTTTGATGAGTGACTCAACACCTTGTATTTCATGAATTTACAAATGCAGAATTTATTCTACAATTCATTAATTAAGCACAGAATTCTTTATTTCGATGCGCGTGGCTCTTGTGGTCCTCCATAGTATTTTCCTTTATTTATCAACAGTTTATAGTTTAGTGAAACGGGTTCATCATTCCAAGCACTTCCTCGACTCACACCCCGGTATAAGAATAATTATTATAACTAAAAGAAAACTGAACCAAATAAAAACTATATCTGGCCCATTTTGAGCCGATTTTTGAGTCGTGCGACCGTTTTGGCGATCGGCCCGATTTTGGCCTTCATCGTGCGTCGTGCATCGTGTAGTATACGTGGGGTAACGAGACGCGATTAACACCTCACGACGAGCTCCCGATCATCAATCGCTTGGTCGCGAGGGTGTCACCGCAGTTTGTCACACTGCACACGCGCAAACACAAATGTCAACGAAAAAGACGGCGCAGCACGACAGTGCAGCGTGTGATCTGGACACAAGCGATGGAGGCACAACTTGTAGAACTTTGGAAAGCTCATCCGAGCCTTTTCGATGTGGCCTCACAAAATTATCACGACACAACAACCGTGAAAATAGTTGGATCTACACTGCTGCTCAATCACAGCTGCCTGATCAATGTTTTTCATTAGCAATTTAGCAAAGTTGACGGAGAGGGAGAGCGAGCGACAGAATTTCTATTATAACCTTCATTTTATGTACGCACAGTGTGAGCACTCAGGTCGCATCAGAGCATCGGGCCGTATAGTGTGAGACCCTGGATCGTCACCTATGAACTTCTAACCCCTGCGATGCAATCGTACAGTTTGAGCAGGAGCTGAATCGCGCGACTGAAAAAATCGCAGTGTCTGCCCAGCTTAGGGAAGGTTTAAATCTTGCGATTTGCTTCACCTGTTGTTCATGCTATCGACCTCATGGTGTCGCTGAGGCACCGAGAAACAAACTCGCTTTCACGACCAGAGCGCTGGTGCATTCACTGACGACGACGTATGATCCAAACAGAGGCACCTATGCAGCTTAGCATGGCTAACATGCAAACCAACCAGCCGCCTCCAGTTGCCTTTACTGAGAGGCCATGTGGTCTAGGGAACAGCCTCCGCCTCGTCATTCAGAAACAACCCGCCCCTCCTTTCTCTGTCCCTGTGGTTCCTTTTGGTTGTCTGTCATTATCACCGCTCACACTGTCACTTCTCCACTCATGGACTCACTTGCGGTCACTTCTGGGAATTGCACTTGTCTTGTTGAGACTGGAAGATCTGGACCATTAGTATTTGACTCAGAAAGCTCCTGATGAGTTAACCCGGAATGGAAACATAAAGAATTACTGCAGACGTGAGACATTTTTTTCCCTAGGTATTCCTTTACGTTATGTGAAGTTTTTCTTTATGCTTCTTCTTTGTTTTGAGTGTGAGTGGACTCTTCTGCTGTTGTACTTTCCCCTACAGTAAACAAATTAGTGTTTATAGCTGCAGTTAAGCCTTAGAGCTTGTTGCTGTATAATGTAGGGCAAAGGTTACCGGTTACGCTGCAGCGAGGTTTAGTTATTTCCCCTTTAGCGTAACATCTCAGCTGCTCTGTGATCATGGCTACAAAAAGCTACCAAATACACCCACCACTATTGCGCAAATATTGGAACAGCTTGCATAATAATAAGCGCTGAAAGGGTTACTTGGACAAAACTGTAAAAGATAATGAAATTGTTTTTTCTTCTAGATAATGTTTGCAGCAGGTAGTGATATAGGGTATGATAAGTTTTTCTTTTTTCTAAAATCAAAACTGCTGTTGTCAGTGTACAATGTGTATAGTGACAGTATGTATATATATGTGTATATATGCAGTTGGTATCTGTCTTGAAGTTCAGATCCTCTGGGAGGTCTGTGAAGTACCCTAGCTGTTCCTAGGACTATGTTCTTTTTGTGTGTCTGGAATCTGTTGCAGCCACCTTTCCAGCTGCTAACCCTCCTGTTACCACTGGGACCATTTTGGATGTTACCAAAGTGGTTCCATGTACTTTAGTTGTTTCTTCAGCCTCCGGTACTGACTTATTTTTCTCCTTCTTTCTGATGTTGCTGTCATCTGGGATTGCTGCATCTATCACACCTGCGGTGTTCTGTTTCTTGTCAACAATCATTCTGCATATGGTTGGTTTGTCAACAGCTGCTTGTCTGTCAGAAACTCAAAGACCCACTGGGTCTGAGCCCTGTTATTTATTTAGAAACTGGGGACTTCTAATCCATATGTGGCACAGATGTTCCTGTAGACTTTCTCAGCCACTTGGTTGTTTTTTCTCACTGTATCCTTGCATCTTAAATTCTGCTACTGTGCACTGGACGGTCTCTGGGGCATTTTTGCTCAGTCTCCAACTTGGATCTTGTTAGTTGTGGCAGACTCCTTTCTGTTCTGTGCTGTCCTTTTAAGGCAGCCTTTTCTAGCAAATATTAAGATTCTTTGTTATCTGCCACTTCTTCTATCTGTGGATGCTACATGCCATGCAGCAGCTTGGTCTTCCATGATACTTCCTTCTCCTCCACTGCTTGAAGCAGCTCATCTTAGAGGGCCTGAGATACATCTTCCTAATGTATTCACAGACTCCTATGTTTCATACTGAATGGTTCTGACACACCTCAAATCCGTGGTTGACATTCATGGATCTTCACCAAAGTCTCTGTTGGCCTGTGGGATACCCAGGTACTTGTAGCTGTCCTGTATCCCCACTATAATGCCCATTCCTCTTCAGTCAACACTACTCTCCCTTTCTTTGCAACCACTCAGCCATGCTTTTCTAATCCATGTGCCCTCGATGTAGGTGGTGCATATATGCATATCTCATTCTGTCACATTTGTTAACTCTTGAAACACAGATAAAGCTTACTTGGATGAATGGAAGGACTGATTAGATTTTAATGGTCAAAGGTCAATATAATTATGACCTCACACCTGTCCCATTCTTCTAAATGTGATATCTCGGGAACTCCTGGAGTCAGTTTTATTATGTCCGGCACAAATGTTCACTTGGACTTACTAATGAACTGATTACAATTTTGTAACATTACAATTTTACAATTTTGTAACATTTATTTTTAAATGGCCAAATGTCGGCTTCCATTTAGTCATTTAGTTTTGTTTCATTGTACTCTCAATGTGAGGTACAAAGTGAAATCAGTGCAACTAAAGAAGACCATCATTAGGCTGGGAAATTAAAATAAACCTGTCAGAGGGAAAATTTCATTTATGGAACAACCTGGAACATTCTTTCCATTGTTAGGAAAAAACAGCTTTGCAACATGTAGCTAAGTCAATAACACTGAGGAGATAAATCTATCATACTCAAGGTCTACAATCAAGTGATGCTTTCAGTGAATGTAAATTCAGAGTTTAAAATAAGGTACTGATAACACTTGAGCAAGATGACCAGATTAGACTTTGGACGTATGAAATGAAGTTTAACTTTAAGTGTACATAAAAGGCCAGGCCATGTTATCGGTTTAAAAATGATGCAGCTCATGTTCTGGCATGCCTTTCAGTTGATGAAGACAGAACTAAAGACAGGAAGACCCACAAGCAACTGAAAGCAGCTGCAGTAAACACCTTGGCAGAAACACAACATTCAGTGAAGTTCATTGGTTCTAATCTTAATCCAAGCACTGGCTCCAAAGGATTTTCATCCAAGTATTTAAAACAGTCCCTATATTTATAATTTTGTTAGTTTGCCCAGTTAATTTTGAGTCTGTTGAACTGGGGGGCTCTGTCTAAAAATAATTGTAATTCCTAAACAGTTCATGGGAAATTCTTTACAAAATTTGTTCAATTAAATCAGAATAGACTGAATCCAATCTGATTGGATTTAACATCCCCTGTCGTGATGATGGAGGCAAAAAATTGTGTGTTATTCTGTGAGAATGACTTTGGCAGGTGCTTGATGTAAACTGCAACTTAACTGAGCAATATCATTCTTAATTTATCCTTAGATAAAATTACACCTTAAAATTCTACCAGTGCACTCTATATTTAAGCTCGTGAATCGACCATCTTGGATACAACTTTTGTTTTTTCCAATAGGAAGAGGGCCATGTGACACACCAAACTTAATGGTAATGTCACAAGAAAAACAATGGCCTAAATGGCCACCATGGTCACCACCCATCTTGAGGAGTTTGCCCCCTCACATATACTAATGTGCCACAAACAGGACTTTAATATCACCAACTATTCCCATTTTATTACGGTGTATCCATATAAATGGCCCACCCTGTATAGTAGTGAATCAGGTGAATATTATATTATGCCTGACTACACTGTAGCCTTTCTATAAACTATAAACTTTCTATTATCTTTGATTTTTTTTTTTTTACAGTAAATAAAGTTCTTTCAAAAACATGCATTTTACTATTCTCAAAGACATAAAGATATGTTTATTTGCACCTTATAGTTGATGAAAGCATTTGTACACATGCTGTGGATAAACTGGCCCTGAATCTTCTTAAGCAATAGTGTCAGCCCCCTGAGTAACTTCCACCCAGGTTGTTTTTAAAGTCCAGGTCTATAAAAATATAATCACAGCACACACGATGACTTCACTTTGGTAACGTTGCTGAACTATGACTCAGCTGAGCTAACAGTCAGAAGGCGGTGCCAACAAAGACCACATAAAGTTAGAACATTAGTTTTCAGCAGTTTGCAGTGACGTCACTAACTGAACAGAGAATTAAGGGAACAAAACTAACTGATAAATTAGTCCCACTGAATGTTTAATCCCATCACTAAGTAAAACTATTATCATAAGACTTGTTAGGGAGTTAAAGTTGGCGTGAGTAGTATTATCTTCCTTTTATCTCGGTCTCTTCTCACGCAAAGGAGACAGAAATGTTGCAGAGAAGGCAAAAGAAGACAGAAAAAGGTTATGCGAACCATTAATTTATACCGTGTTATAATTTTATAGTCAATGCTATATAATCTTTTATTAATGTTAATTGAACAAGACCTATGATTAGCTGCAATCTGCCACAACCTATTGGAGTGAGAGAAAAGAGATGAGAAATATAAGGAGCATTAATGCAGTAGCAGCATATTTGAACATTTATATGAAGTAAAAGAAAAGAGTTTGATAGTTCTCAGTATGTCATGGGAAGTCTGGGCTGGGTTATCCATGGCATAAATAAGACATCGTTCAGGGTCATTCAGTCTGGTCCAAACTAGAAATTTATCAAAAAGGAAAAGTCCTGTGCTTTTACTTATCAGACATTTTACAAAATTCTAATATGATAGCTGAGCAATTTTTCCCCCATTGATATATGCCTTAGTTCAGAGCCCAACACCAAAATATGGATCCGTTTAGGATCACATGGCTTCTCTGAGTAAAAAGAAACCAAAGTGTTCAGAAAATGCTTCGAGTTGAACTCATCGACTAATCTGGACAACAAAGAACAAACTAAAGCTGTGAAACCAGCCACACAGTCCTCACAATGCTAAAATCTGCACAGCATCAGAAAGGCACATGTGTTCTGTTTCAGCCTTACAGCCTTCGAGTTAAAAAGCCTGTTACTACAATTCTGTAAATTCAGATTACGTCAGAGCTAGGTGTCTAGCTACTGCATCCACACCCATACCAAACAACCAACACTTACACTGCAAGAAGTTCAACTTGATTTCAGGTCATCTAGAATTTTCCATATTGTGACATATCTAAGAGAACTGACTGCAAAATATTCAACTATTTTTATCAGAATATACATGACTGTGAGCACAATATGAAAAAAAAAAGATTTTATTTACATTTCATAATAATTATCACACATTTTTTTACTCAAAAATAACAATGTTGGCATTAGCCAGGAAGATTAGGTTTTAGTATCCATAGTGATTAGACAAGCTTTCCTGTACACAAGCTTTAAAGACTATAAAGCTTTTCTTTTGCTATTCTAGTGTTTACCTGCCACATAAAAGCAACACATACTGTAATTGTTAGTTTTTTTTCTCTTGGTTGGCTCATTAAATGATCCATAAAATACTTTAGAAAAGCTGTTTTTTAGCATCTCAGCATTTGAACCTTCTTACTACTGTCGTAGCACACATATTTTTCAGTCTGTCTGCTTCACTCCCACATCAAATCCTAGCCAGCCACACAAAAGCAACATTGATGAAAAGATTTATTCTCATACCAAGCTGCACCGACCCTTTTCTGACCGAATGCAGCAAGACTGCTGGCATTGTGCTGATAATGAACGCTAATGTCCTGTAATTAACTCACATCACTATTCCTGAAGTGATTGGTGATTTTGTTATTGTGTGGCTTACTTGGCACTGATGTGTGCAGATAACCAGATGGTCTCTGGAATATCAAATTTTGCGCCTTCCAAATCATCTGTTTTGGTCAAAAATGTGATCAAATGTACCTAAATGGGCTTTCTTCCCTTCTTGTTAAAGGATAATGGAAAAGCCCCATGATCCAGATGACAACTTCAAGCTGGATAAGGGCACAGCCGAACCTGAACCCAGCACCCATACGAGAGGACAGTGGTCTAGCAAAATTGAGTTCCTCTTGGCTGTTGCTGGGCAGATCATAGGGCTGGGAAATGTGTGGCGGTTTCCTTACCTATGCTACAAAAATGGAGGAGGTGAGTATCAAAATAGTGAACAAACAGACACTATATTGTGCTGTGGCTGTCTACCTATTTAGCTCCTCTTTTCCAGTTTTACCGTCTCCAAATAATGAACTTGGGATCACTGGTTTGCAGAAAGCTGTTTTGAAGTCTGGAGCTTCCTTAAAGACCCCATAAGTTATAAGCTATCTCTAACAATGGGTGATAGACTTTATCAGCAAGATGCATTGTACTGAACTGTATGTATTTATACTTAATGGTTAAAAGGGTTAAATTAAACACATTCTCAGAATCTCTTTCAGTACAACTTTCAGTTGAATTCAGCTTTTTTCAATTCAGTTTTATTTATGTTGCAACAAATCACAAAACATTCACCTCAGGGAACTTTTAAGGTGAAGACCTTACAATGTTAGAGAGAAAACTCCACAGGGGACCACCCTGTGAAGTAAGCATTGGGTGGCAGTGGGAAGGAACTCCATTTTAACAGAAGAAAGCGGCAGAACCAAACTCGGGGAGGGGCATCCATTGGCCTCAGGCGGTTTGGGGTGATGGTAAAGAGAAAAGAAAAAAAGGGCTTAACGAGGCAGAACAAAACACAAACTATAGACGAGAGAAGATAAACTTGCTCACTCGCCCAGCATCCTGATTCTATAGCAGCATAACTAAGTGATAGTTCAGCAGCCATCCCCATAATTATACATATTTTTTAATGTTAATGTTAATTAGCTGATTACATGAACTTAACTACAGAGCCCAGAACCACTGTTTATATTAGGCTGTTAATGTTTCCTTTGGGCCTTTTAAAAATAAATTTGGAGGAACTGCATTTCTGTGTCAGCTTCCCTTTTGTTTATTTCTGTATAACTAAGTCAAATTTTATATTTTAGTTCAAAATATATCAATTTAAAAGAACTCAAAGGAACATAATCGACACAGTTACTTTAATCTGTTTTTCATTTTTAATTCTATCTTAGCTGCATTTGTTTAAAAATCCTGTCAGTTTGACATTTGTGTAGAGTGGCAGAGAAAGATCGTTTTAAAGGAATTTACATCATAGTTAGGAAAAGATAATCAAGTGAATCCATCCAGTTTCTTAACTTTTTATCCAATTCAGGGTTGTAGGGAGTCTGGAGTCTATCCCAGCTGTCACTGAGAGAGAGGCAGAATGCATCCCGCACATGCTGCCAGATTATCACAGGGCTAACACAAAGAGACAACCATTCATGCTCACATTCACACTAGTCACCAATTAACCTAACAAGCATGTCTTTGGACTGTTGGTGGAAGCCAGATTACCCAGAGGGCAAAGTTTTCCCTCTGGCACCCAGGCACAAACAGAACATGCAAACTCCACACAGCGAGACAAAGCCTGGAGTATTTTTAGATTTCCAAAAATAATTACATTTGGAAGAAAAATATTTCAGAAAGTAACAAAACACAAATTAAGTTTTAAAAGAAAGGTCTTTTTAAAATGAACTAAAACAATGTCTATCTTATTTAGAGATTAGATGCAAAGTAAGCCAGTGTTGATCTCCCCCGGGATTGACCTGTGTCAGTGTGATAACCCTGGATTAATAAAACAGTTGAATCGATCAATACAAACAACTTATGTGGTGCAACTTTGGATTTTGTCCAGGGGTGTTCTTCATCCCGTATATACTCTTCCTCTTCGCCTGCGGCATACCCTTGTTTCTGCTGGAGACGTCTCTTGGCCAGTACACGAAGCAGGGAGGGATTACCTGCTGGAAGAAAATTTGCCCCCTTTTTGAAGGTAAAAATCTCTCTCTTAAAATTTTTTTGGAAGTTTTCATTTATCAGACTACCAATAAAGAAGTTAAGATCATACTGTATGCTAACAAGCTATGACAAGGTCTTTAATTAATTAATGAAGCTGAATCTAATTATAAATAGAAAACCTGTGGAAAATATTAGTATGTTTTTAAATGCATATTTTAATCACAAACTGCACATTTTACTCACATTTTCCTGCTGTTGTAGCATTTGATGAGAAATTATGAATTTTTATTATAATTCCTCATTTTCTTACAAAACTATTTTCCCCCTAGAACATTATACTGTAAACGATCAGATGCTGTATTCCAGGAAACCTGAGTTTTGAGTCTGACACTTATGCAACAGTTGTGTAACAAACTTAAACTTTAAAGTTTAACAAAGCTCCTTTTCTGATTATTGGAAAGACAAAAGCTTTTTTAAGAAACTCGCAGATCTGCATCAGGGGTTTCATCTTTCACATTACTTACACTGGTTGAACATTACCTCTTCTTTGATTGCCAGCCAGGGGACTTGTATACTATTAGCTCCTTTCTTACTTGTTGTCTGTGTTTCCCCTCTACAATTGTTCACTGCACTACATTTACTTTGGCACAAAACCTCGTTTATGTAATTTAAATATATGCCATCATTTAAATATGTATTTATTTTTCAAAGTGCGTTGGGTTGTTAACAAGTATTTATATTAACATACTGGACACAGTGCGTTTCTTTAATTATTCTATATGTATGTGAATTTGCCTCCTTTTAAGTGTTTAATTTGTTCCCTTTTTGTTGTTTTTCAGGCCTTGGTTATTGCAGTGAAGTGGTTGTTTTATACTCCAGCATTTATTACATTATCATATTAGCCTGGGCATTCCTATATCTCTTCTCCTCTTTCAATTCTGAGCTTCCCTGGGCAAGCTGCAAAAACAGCTGGAACACTGGTAAGTCCCACTATGTGATTAGAAATGCAAAAACAAAGAAGTAGCTAAACATCATGAGAGCAATTATGACTCACTGCATTTTAACAAGCTTTGGGGGACTCATCATGATACTAGCTGGTTTCCATTTTTTACAGGTTAGGTTGCTTTTAATGTCATAAAATTGGCTGTTTGAGGGTTTTATTCGATTCTGGCACAATGTTGGCACTGAGGGTTTTTTTGTGTCTATAGAGCAAAGGCTGGAAACATTTTATCTTATGAAGGACTAGCACTCAGTATTCTTCACTCATGCTGATATTTATTAATAATAGCAGTTGAAAAATTTAAGTGTATTTTAGCACTGACAATTTTACATTGCTTTATACAGTATATGGATAAAAAAAATTGCAGGCCACACTTCAGTTTTCAGTCCCATTGCCACAGGTGTATAAAATCAAGCACCTAATTATGCAGTCTGTCTTTGCAAATAATTTTTGAAAGAATGGCACATTCTAAAGAGCTCACTGAGTGTCATAACATAACACCAGTGTACCAAGTGCCGCTTCTTCTCATGTAGGTATTCCACAGACAACTATAAGTGGAATTATTGGAAAGTGGAAATGTTTGGGAAACAGAGCAGCTCATCCACGTAAAGTTACAGAGCAGGGCCATCAGGTATGGAGGCTTTTAGGTTTAAAAGTCACCAACACTCTGCTGACTCAGTAACTGCAGAGATCCAAACCTCCTCAGGAAAAAACATTTTATTCGGAAGTATCTTTTTACCATGTAGCTAGCTGCTACATGCACTATATGGACAAAAGTATTGGGCTACACCTAGCCATGCCGCCTGCCCTTACAACATTTGTGAAAGAATGGGTGGTTCCAAAGAGCTCACTGAATGTGGCATCCTATGAATGGTACTGTCATGGGATGCCACATATAAATATTCTTAATAAATAAAAAAAAATAGGTGTATGCTTACTTAAAATCTAGTTATGAGAACCACAGAAAAGCCTTACTTGGTGTACACCAGCAAACTGATAACAATTTTATGGCAACACCAACAAAGTCTTTACTCACCACAGCACTTTCCAGTTGGCCATAGTCAAGTCAACTACTGGTCATTGCCATTAATTTAGTGGGAATGCTTGCAGCACCACTTGGTAACTGAGTAAAACTCTCAACCTTCTCTTTCAACCCAGTAAAATGAAAGAGGCACCACCTTGTGGCTTTATTCAGCACTTCACGCAAGTGAGTTTCCCTCTCAGGGGGACAGAATACTAAAGCCAGTGAACAACAATCACACACGCACACAAATAAACAACTGTCAGCAATCTAATGCAGTCACACAAACTTAGATTTTTATTATTTATTGGTTTTTTTATGTAATTGGTGGAGACACTGAAATAATCCCTCCACCCCCTCCTTCAGCAAACATAAAGTAGAAAACACCTTCTGTAGTCACACGTTTTATTTAATATAGCAAACTACAAATGAAGAACCAATTTGTTATGTGAATAGAAAAGCTTATGTAGTAAAAATCAGTAGAACACTAGCACAGCTTATATGTAAGAATAAAAAAGAAAAAAAAATACCAAAATGTAACTGAAGATCTTTGTTAACACAGACCAAGGCTTTGACAAGATGTGTTATATGACCTTTCTTTGTTTGTGCTTTAATTCACTTGTTGACATTTCTCAGAAACCTGTGTGGAATTTGACAGAAAGGCTGATTATTTCAACATGACTGTACATGAAAATGCAACTTCACCAGTGAGAGAGTTTTGGGAGTGAGTAACTTTTCCAAAATCCAAAAACTTTTAAGGCATTATTTGGACAAGTGAATCGGCATTTGTGAGTTATGACCATCACTAACTGTCAACTGCAGGCGAAGAGTTTTGAATATAACTGGAAGCATCAATGAGTTGGGCAATATTCGATGGGAGTTGGCTTTGTGCCTTTTGTTGTCCTGGATCATCTGTTACTTTTGTGTGTGGAAAGGTGTCAAGTCTACTGGGAAGGTAAGACATGGGCTTAATACTTTTATTTCCTTCTGGTACACAGTGTAACAAATAACAGAATCTGCTAGTGCCTAAAAACACAGTAATATGTTACACACCAAACATGCCTCTATCTTTATAGTTTAATTACCTATTAGAGACAGGATGTGATTGTACACAGTTTAAGGCTAACCATAAATATGAGCCAACATTATTACAGTCCTTTATGATTCAAAGATATCAAGCTAAGCCCAAACTTTTGTTCCCACTGCACTTAAATTAAAGGTACAACCAGCAGCAGGCCAGGTTAAAATAGATGGAGATGAAGTATCTTTCTGAAATATCATGAAGAACATGCCACAAACATGTTTCTTAGTAATCATCTTTGCTTCCCTGGCTTTATCCTTTGTCCCCTTTCCTTCCCATTCATTGATTGTCACTGTTTATGTATTTATTGAGGGTGGACATGAGCTACATACGCACACCAGGGCAGGGCAGATAAGAGATTGTATTTTATGCAACAATGACGGTGTTTATTTTTAATAAATACAAAAGCAGAATACAAAGTTGCAGACCTGTGATATCAGTAAAAACTTCCTCTTTCAACTTGTTGCACTCTTTGTACCACTAAAGCAGAATGATTTACACGGCTATATGCTGGATTTTATGCTAAAATAGTTATATAAGGTATGTAATCATTGAAACATACTTACTAATTAAATTTGATTACCCCATTTAAAAATAAATGGGAGTGTTGCACTTAGACCTGATTTGATAGTAGTATCTATGCCAGATAGCAGTGAGTTTCATGATATGAAGTTGAACTGTAATCAGTTTTCTGATCTTCTTTTGATCCTCTTCATCTGCAGATGTACTCTGTATTTGTTGATTAACTGTTAGCATGCCAACTAAATAAACGGTGAACATGACGTTACTTGCTGAGAGCTGCAAATCCTGCAAGATTTAGTATTTTGAACAAGGTAATGTGCAGACAGCATTTAGCTGCAAACAGTGTTGTGCCAGCATTAAAAAGGCAAAAGAAGCTGTCAGAAAGATTTTCTTTAATCTAAAGCTGCAATTTGCTTTCTTGAAAATTTAAACTGTGCGTTAGACTTAAGGAGTAGTGAACTGCAGTTTTCCCTGGGTGGCAAGAATAAAGAAAAAATCAGCAGCATGTGTTTAGTTTGAGATACACTGTGTGAAACTAAAGCTTCAATGTGAGGTTAAGCAGTGTTCGGTGTATGTTCTGAAGCACAGAGTGAGTGTGATTACATAATATCGGCAGTGAATGTTCATAACTTGGCCACATCATTCCTCCTCTGCAGGTAGTTTATTTTACTGCCACATTTCCATATGTGATGCTGGTGGTGTTGCTTGTTCGTGGACTCACGTTGCCTGGGGCCATAGATGGGATCAAGTTTTACCTGTACCCAGATCCATCCCGTCTCGCTGATCCCCAGGTACAAACACCATTCATGACTTCCCACTCTAAATAAAATGTGGTTTTACTCTTTAACTCCTGCATAACCATGTTGCATCATCAAACTTCTTACAAACAGTGATGGGTTACTTATGTGTGTTAGACTGTGTTAAAACTTTCAGTGCATTTGCAGATGATTGCTTTGCTGATGTCACATAGGGTAAAACATTAGCAAATGTTCTGTACAGATGCACTATGTGCAGTCCAACACACACACACACACACACACAATAAAAAAAAAATTCTCATGTAATTGAATGTAGGGGTGGGGAAATGACCTTTTTTTCTTTTGCAGGTGTGGATGGATGCTGGCACACAAATATTTTATTCCTATGCTATTTGCATTGGGTGTCTAATTGCACTTGGCAGCTATAATAAGTACAACAATGACTGCTACAAGTAAGTAAAATGTTTTTTGTTTTTTAATGTAAGAATATCACAAAATATCACAGTTTTAATGAAAGAAGAAGAATGTAACATAAAACATATAAAATCATTATGACAAAACTGGAAAAAGCAGGTTTCTTTAATGCTTTTCACTAACACTAATAACTTTCTTCTTCTATTTACCATTATCCAAAAATATCTCCCTTGAGTCATGTGTCATGCCATGAGCTACTGATATGAAAAAAAACGGGTTGTGTGTCACAGTTAGGCAAGAAACATGCAAACCGTGGTTCAGGGGATTGGGAAGCTCATCTTGTAACCAGAAGGTTGCCAGTTCGATCCCCTGCTCTGTCTGTCTTGGTCGTTGTGTCCTTGGGCAAGACACTTCACCTATCGCCTGCTGGTGTTGGCCAGAGGGGCCTATCAAGGCTTGCAGGATGAGCCGTGTGGAATTTAATGAGGACCCAAGATGCAGGCAGCTGAGATACAGGGGAGTTTTTATTGAGAAGGTGGAGATACAAACAGAAACGGCAGAGGAGCGGAGGAAACTAAACAAAACCTAAACTGGAAAAAACTAACAAAACAAACCTGAAGCGCTAACTGGAGCGCTGGAGGAAACACAGGGAATTAACACAGACGAACCGGCAACATGTGGGAGAAGACACAGGGCTTAAATACACACAGCAGTAATCAAGGGATGGGAGACAGGAGGGGAACACACCTGGACAGATGACGAGACAGGGGAAACGCACTCACATGAGACAAGGACCTTCAGAATAAAACAGGAAACTAACAGACACAGAGGACCAGACAAGACACTGAACTTAACAGACAGACTCACGAGCAGACACAGTGACACCATGGATAGACAGAGGGAACACAGACATGCATGAAACAAAACCCTAACACATAACAAACCTAAACAAAAGACATAACAGAATAAACCAGAACAAGGAATAATATGAAGAAACACAAAACACTGAGCTGTCAGACTCAGGACCATGACAGGGCCGATGGCGCGATATGGCAGCCTCGCTTCTGTCAGTCTGCCCCAGGGCAGCTGTGGCTACAGCTGTAGCTGCCTCCACCAGTGTGTGAATGTGAGAGTGAATGAATAGTGGCATTGTAAAGCGCTTTGAGGGTCTCGAAAATCGCTATATAAATGCAATCCATTATCATTATTATTATTATTATTATAAACCCTTACTGACTTTAATACAAAATAATTTGATGTAATTTGTTCTCTTTTTATTTTAGGGATTGTGTGTATTTGTGCCTTCTGAACAGTGGGACCAGCTTTGTTGCTGGCTTTGCCATATTCTCTGCACTTGGATTCATGGCATATGAGCAGAACACAGATATATCCAAAGTGGCAGAGTCAGGTGAGTTTATAAAAGAAAGTGTGAAAAGATACAAGGAGCTTTACAATGAACAATTTAGACCTGACAGCATTTATGGATGTAATATTATTTACATGTTCGTATGGGAGAATGTTACAAGCTTGTCTTTGTATGTGCAGTGGATGGTGTTTCTCATCTGTTTTTAGAAGAGGATAAATGCCAGCTACACTTTACACCTTACAATCAATATATGCGTGTATACTCTCACCGACCTCTGTTAGGTATAACTGGTTAGTAGCAGGTTGGGCTTCCGTTTCCACTGTATTCTCTTATTCTCTGCAGGTCCTGGCTTGGCATTCATTGCCTATCCTCGAGCCGTCGCCATGATGCCTTTTCCTCAGATCTGGGCAGTATTTTTTTTCGTTATGATCATCTTGCTGGGGCTGGACAGTGAGGTAAGCTCTGTTTTGTTTTGTTTTGTTTTGTTTTGGGGTTTTTTGGTGGGGGGGTGAAGGGGGAGGGACAACTGAAATAAATTGAAATGGAAATTTAAATTTTTTTAAAAACAATTTTAAACTTACTTACGTTCCACTAAATATGATTGTTATCTGGCTCAGGCCTGGCGCAGGATCTCTATTGAGATGCAGATTAAAACAGTTTAATCTTGAGCAAAAATTATGCATTTTTAATGGTAAGTATATAACTTAGAGGTTTGTGTTTCAGTTTGTGGGTTTGGAAGCTCTCACAACAGCCATTTCCGACATGAATCCAGCCTTCTTCCATGTCGGCCACCGACGTAAACTCTTGCTGCTTGCTGTCAGTGTTGTCAGTTTCCTCATCGGCCTTGTGATGGTTACAGAGGTAAGAACAAATTTAAAAGTCACATGTTTGTCACAATAACTGCATTTATTTTATATGCTAAAGCTCGAAAGCTAATGAAACTGCTCCACACACAGGGTGGACTATACATCTTCCAGGTGTTTGACTACTATGCCTGCAGTGGAATGACTTTACTTCTCATTGCCGTACTGCAGTCTGTAGGTGTTGGATGGGTATATGGTAAGTTCATGAATTACAAAAATATCAAAGTGTCTTCATAATGAAACAAATTTTTCCTCAACTCTGTGTTTCCATCTTTTCACAGGTGCAGACCGATTTTATGACAACTTAGAGGACATGATTGGATACAAGCCTTTACCCCTAATAAAGTACTGTTTGAAATATGTCACTCCAGTAATTTGCACGGTGAGTTGCAGCAAAAGTTAGTAATGCTCTGCAGGTCTTCCCGCCCATTCTTGCACAGCACATGTCAGTAATGTCAGACAGACATTATTAATCGAGACAAACTCTCTTATCTAGTAGGTGATCATCAGTTTTGCTGACCTAAATGGTAGCTGTTAGTGCAATATGTTATTAACTCTGACTGACTTCATTACTTAAGTTAGGATTAATTCTGTGAGCTGGTAAAAAAAAACTCTCCATCTGAAAGTAAAAAATGTCAGTATTTGTTCCAGCATTTATAATTCATCAAAGTAAAATCACATTATTTGGTTATTTTTAGTAATGAACCAAGACAAAAATCCTTGATGGGGAAGTATCATTTTAGCATTTACTAGCCAACAGTTTTGGGTGTGCAGCTAGCCATGCAGTCTCCCATTATTTGTGAATGAATGGGAAGAGCTTACTGAATTTGAGCATGGTAATGTCATAGGGTCCCACCTTTGCAACATGTCATGAAATTCATGAAATTTCTTCCTTCCTAGATATTCCATGACTAAGTGTTACTTTTGGAAAATTGTTAGGTTAAGCACCACAGCAACTGATGGCGTCAGACCACATGAAGTTACAGAGCAAGGTTGCTGACTGCATAGTGTGTAAAAGTCTCCAACACTCTGCTGACTCTCTGCTGACTCAATGACTCAATGACCATAGAGCGCTGAGCCACCACTGGCGTTAACATAAGCAGAAAAACTGTGGACTAGGAGCCTCATGAGATGGGTTTCCATTCCCCACGTAGTATGTAATTTATTCCATATTTACCTCTTCCATTGTAATTTTCAGGGAACGTTTATTTTCTCCTTGGTCAAATACACTCCACTGAAGTTCAACAACACACTAGAGTATCCATGGTGGGGTTATGCTCTAGGCTGGTGGTTTACACTCTCCTCTACGCTCATGGTTCCCTTCTGGATGCTGTACAATCTGAGCACCACTCCTGGTACACTGCGACAGGTGAGCTATTTGTGTATGAATATAAATTTCCAAAAAACTGTTTCCTTTCATCTTTTATTAAAACCAATATTCTTCTTTGTTAGAGGTTCTCCATCTTATGTACTCCAGCCGAAGACCTCCCTCTGACCAAATCAGAGAAAAAGGCTCTTGAACTGCTTAACTTGCCATCATCCTTCGATAACACAGTGTTCTAGAATAAACATGAAAAGTGAAGCAAACTCAGATGCATTTAACAATTAACACAGTTATAAGGAAAATCTAACATTAAATCCAGTGGCTCAATCCTCTGTAGCGCTGCATCATTCCAGTCTGTTTGGAATTTAACCCCTTAAAACACTGATATTTATTTTGTGTCCCCATCTAACGGGCTAGATAAACCAGTGAGATGAATTCAACCAAAAACTACAACCTGAATGAATTCACACAAACAAGAGGTGATTGTAAAAAAAACTGCGTAAAGACAGTCTGAGCACAAATGTGTAGTTTCCCTGAGTTTGGGATGGCATCTCCATCATCTGATTTACAGTCCAAAACCAGAAGAGGAAACCACAGAAACGTCAGAAATAAGAATATGGAACCAGAGAGGATGTGGAGTTTTGCTTAAAGAAAATGGTTTAGGCCATGATTTCATTTTCTATATTATTGCTTCTGACGATTGTCTTGTTCATGTTTGTTCTGATAACCCATCTCTACAGCAAGGACTAGTTCTGAAATTTCTCTTGTGGCCATTTGCACTGAGCATATTATTTGACATTTTAAATTGCTCCTCATCCAAAGTTCATTAGTAAGATGCATATTTTTTTCAGGTTTACCTTCATCTGAGTATATTGAGCTATCTGCTTTCACTGTGTCTGATTACAAAGCTCTTTTTTAAACCCCACCTATTCGTACATCTTTATGATTCTAGCACTGTTGTTAATCACAATTTATATCAGAGCTATTAGTGGAATACTTAACATGATATTCATGTGATGAATCGCTGGGAAATTTGTCATGTGGTGAAAAAATTTACGTGCCTTTAGCATACGGTAGACTGTTTCTGATGCCATAGTTGGAGAAGGGAGAGAAGTTGATGCCTGATTAATTCTGTCACATTAAAATGTTGCATTTACAATCATGGAGAAAAATAATGGTGTATTTATTATGAAAATCCTTCTTCTTTTAAATAAAAGACAGCACAGGGTATTTACACCTGCACAAATGTGCCTCATGTTTAAATCAAAGTCTTTTTGGGACTATTGCCTGTTATGGTTTTAAGCAACACCATTTTGCAAACACTCATCCTTTTGTAATGAGCACTTATTAAGAAGAGAGTGGAAATGAAAGGTTTTTGTACACCAAGTGTTTTTGTCTCTTACATTGTATTATTACATTTTGTGGTCAAGGCCTCAGGCTGTAGAACTTTTTTGAGTAAAATAATACTGACAGTTACTTGACAAACTCTTACAGATCTAACACCTTAGTTACTTTAAGGCCAGTATGAATTATACAGATGGTGTAAACTGTAACTAAAAAACCATGACAGAAGGGAGTTTGTCAAGCAATAAGCATCCAATCAATTGAAACCCTGAACACTGTGTTTATCTGAGCCATCTGGCTGTCCCAATACAGAAGTGTTTGTGACCTCTACAAAGTACTGATACTGTAAATATTGTATATGGGTTTTTCATGTAGGCAGTAAATGCAGCATTACGATAACTGCACTATGTATTATAAACCTGTTAGAACCAAGGAAAACTCAATATGGTAATATTGATTATAAAATACATTTTTCTGCTGTATTTTCAACTTTTTTTTTCTTTTCAGAAACCTTCCTTATCGAGTGTCCAAATTTATATTTTTAATATTTTGTATCATATGTCATTGAGAGTTGTGGCAACATTTTTATGTATAACATGTGGAGTGTGATCTAAAGGTTCTGGGAACTGGCCTTTAAAAATCAAAGCAGTGGCGACCCTGAATGGTGATCCTAAGGATTGGTCAGAGGCCAGCTTGAAATCTTTTATGTTGTTGGTTTTTTCTTTGTTGTTTTTATTGTTTTTTCTTTGTTTCTTTAAAAAGGTTTTCTGAACTTTTGAATCACACCTCTGCACTGTACAAATTTTGTAATAACACATTTTTTCATGTGAAAAATCATATTGACATTTACACTGTAATTTATTTTTATAACCCACTGTTGCCACTAGATACAACAGGAACAAAAAGGTTTGCTTTTTTTTTTTTTTTTTTTTTTGAAGTGTTGGTATGATGAACTGAATCATAGCTTTGGTTTGTAAATGTTAATTGAATGATTTTATTAAACAATGTGCCATTCTTTAAATATGATCTATAATGAGATAATCATATGTTAATATGATCAATATTATTTATGTATTTCTTCATGTCTTCCTATTACTATTTGGTTAAACTGACATGAGAATCATTCCTTAGGATTTACTGCAGCAATGACCAGTGAGGTGACTGTGGTAAAATCATCATTTACAGACAAACTTAATAAAATCTTAATAAATTCACAACTGTTTTGCCTTTTGATTGTCACTACACAGATCCAGAGGAGAGTCTGAAAAAGTAAAAATGGCAGTTTTTCTGTGCCCTTGAATGACATGAGAACATTTTAATTTTCTGCTAATGCTTTTAAGAAAATAAAGGTTACCTTTAATTCTTCACCTGAATTGTTCAGTCTTGATATGTAATGATAGATTTATTTTATACAACTCTTTTCTTTTCTCTTTAAACATTCCCTTTTTCATTTTGAACATGTAAAGGACATCCACTTTTTCATCCACGCTGTCTAAAATCTGACGTCATACTTGACCTTGGAACCAGGAACAGTGTCACTACATCGTCCATTTAATAGCTTTATAATATCAGTGCATCACATGAACCCTCCTTCATTGTTAACCCAAGATGCATGAATTAACCTAAGAAAAACCTTTAAAAACAAAAACTGTTTACTAAATAGACCTTTTTTAATAAGAGGAGAAAAATGCAATGAGTAATCAAATCAAACACCCAGTTTTTTTCAGCTGATACCACAGAGACAGTAAAACACTACTGCAAACATCTTTGTTTTTCATCTTATCCTTGTAATGTTCATGCATGCACCAGTAAAGCTGTGGTCATGGTAATTCTGAAGTTTTTTCCTTCAAGTGGTGCCTAATTTCAAATGCAATGATTCTCACAGGTCGATAAATGTCACTACAGTCTGTGTGCTAACTAAAGGTAGAGTTTATGTAGTTTCCAGAGAGGCAAAACAAAGCTTACATTGTGATAAGTTCACTCAAAGGGGATAGAAAAAGATGTAAGTGAAGATGTCGAGAAATTATTTTGAAAGGCAAGGATACGAATGCCTCATCCGTAAAGATTGCGTGTAATGTAATTTATGTTTTTTACCTGAACAGTTGATGTGTTTCTAAAGTAGGTTGTTTCCCAATGACATAATGTCTGAGAGCAAGGTAAATTGTGGTACTTTTGTGTTTTTCAAAGGCTATGTGGGACAGTGAACATGGGGTACTTTGTAGTATTGTGGTACAGTTCCAGGTGATGGATGCTGGAGTAAGGACAGACTGTGATATCCATGGTCACTACCAGGTTAAGACTTGGATAACAGCAGAGATATAAAAGAGAGACACAGCCCTGAATAATTATTAATTGTAAATTATGGGAAAATTTTGAATCACTAAGGATAGTGTTAGAAATGTATCACTGTATTTGTATCTGAATTGGCTAGATATTTTGTATGCACAGTTTTTATGATACAGTACCACTGGAATGAAATTTCCTTTAGACAACTGCCCCAGAAAGTACCCGTATACAGTAGATTATAGCACAGCTGCTGAGCTACAGGACTTGCTTCTACAGTAGAAGAGCTTTAGGAGGAGTCATCAGTTTGAATTTAACACTCTTTAGTAACGCTAAAGCCAAATTTATCCTTTATACTGGTCTTACCAGTACCACCTAGGGGTTGGTTAGCAGTTCTAATGGCTCACATATTATCTGCCTATATACTGTAGACTGCAGTTGGCTGAAAGAGTGGTAACCTTCAGAACTAACACAGGTTAGCTGGCCACAGCCACACAGAAAAACAAATCTACAGAAGCTTCTAACACAAAGGATTACTGTCCCACTTTAGTGCCTGGACACCATTATTGAATATAAAACAGCTTTTTCCTTTTTTTTTATCTGTACAGAGCTCAGACTGTGTGAAAACTGGACCCGAATTCAACAGGTAGATGATGAAACGTGTTAAAAGCCAGGTGTGTAATTAATGTTGCTGAGACTTTTTTTCAAGCCATGTAATAAACTGGTGACCCTCATTCAGAGGGCCCCCCTGTGACACACAATGATATAAGCTTAAGAAAATGGATGGCTAGATAGATCTTTTTCAAAGACTTGTTCTAAATTTCAAATATAAAAATACATACATCATGTTGAATCTATGCCATGAAGAACTAAGGCCGTTCTGGAGGCAAAAGTGGGTGTAACCCCATATTTGGAGGTGTGCCTAATGGACTGGCCGGTAACTGTGTATTTGATTAATCTGATTAATAGTGTCTCAACGAAAAATGTCTCCCTATTTATCAATGTGCTCTTTAAAAATATAATTAGATTATAAAATAGTGGCCTAGAAGATGATCTGTCTATTTGAATACAACAGATTAATTAATTTATTTATTTGTTTGGTTTTAGAGTGTAAAAAAAATATATATATATATGAAGAACACATGAACAAAGGTACCATATGTATTTTGCGGGGGTTTTGTGTGAAAATATATCTTATGTCTACATGGCAACGATCTTCCAAATACATATGAACATATTTTATGTCATATCTCTAATCTCACATTAGCCAAGCCACTGTTTTTTCACTTGTAGGCCAAAATTTCTCCAGCACTTCTAAGTTCTACAGATCTTTCAGATGTAGCTGAAAGTGTGGTTAAATAGTACGTACATTACGATGTACAATTTATAAAAGCTAGAAAAAAGTACTACTATTCAACACTGCACAAACTGTTTAAATGTTTAGAGCCAGCAGTAGTTAAAAACATTTAGCAACAATCTGCTTACAAACCACACAACAATAATATAGACTAGCACACACACACACATACACACACACACACACACACACAGGTAATTGTTTTACACAACATATTTAAGATAGCTAAGGTTTTCATTCTGAACCAGCCAATGTTTATAAAACATTTCAATATTATTGTCCAGACTCTGTCCAGATATTTTATGAAAAGAAAACAGTGTTGGTTTTACAGTTACCAAAGTGGACAGTTGTCTGATACACATTCACACTGTCGAGATAAAGAAAAACCTGTTTCCAGACTGCACCAACATAGCTGATCACATTCTAAAAAATACGTTTCTATATGGTGAAAAAGACTGCAAAATGAATGCTTCATGTATTTACCTTCTAAATTATGATTTTATGTGCTCTAAAAGTTATGCCTTTAGCCTGATAAGAGTAAACAGGTCAGAAAATATGATGAATGCACCAGAAGAAGAAAGACTGACTCCTTATTCACTAAATTCAACTCAAGCTCAGTAGGAGAAATATTCAATTTTATATACAGTTTGATTATTTCGCCTTTAATGTTTTTACAGCTGCCATCAGTTAAACAGACTTAAATTGTGAAGTTCTCCCTGTCATCTTTTTTTTTACTTGATCAATTACAATACCAAAGTGTCTTTGACTCATGTCTTTAAGAATACCTCAAAACAGGAATAAATTATTTTAGTGCATGACCACTTTCAGACACATCTTAGGAAAATAAATAATTCTTGCCCGAAACACAAAAGCTAAATTTGAATTTTATATGTAAAAATAGGCACTCCATGCCAAAGTCTTGCAGGTGTTGATAAACACCAAAACTAATTTGGCTTCACAGAAAGCAGAAGTTACACGCAATAACCAAATACAGTAAATTTTACATTTCAGAAAAGCAACTAGGATTTTCTTCGGCTTATTTTATTTATGACAGTATTAAGTTTTGGCCAAAGCAAAAATACAGAATTTATTGTTTTTGTTTGTTTTTTTAACTCACCATACTAACAGGACTTGTTACACCAAAGGTACATATTGCACATATAAAATTAGCAAAGTTCAAGTCTGAATCAAAAACACCTTGTGATGCATGCAGCTGCTCCAAACAGGCTTAAAAACAAATACAGATCATGAACGTGGTTTTACAATCAGAAACACTGTGGAGGCACTTCAACACAGTAGCCTAAGGACAAAGTAATTGTGTTTCTTGCATTTTGAGGAAAATAAAAATATATTCTTTCAGGATAAAAGGTGAGGGCTAAAAGTGTTTGCCAGTCTTAACTCAATGTTTCTGTCTCCACTGGAAGGTATGCTCCAGCAGTTCAATAGTCCTTGTGACAGGGGAAAGGCTGTTTGGCTTGCAAATGTCCCTGCTTACAGTCTGCTTTATATGCAGGAATGGTCACGCTGGATTTTGGGATAAAAAAAAGGGTTTGGTTTGGAGGCTTTTTTTCATCTTCATTCTTGCCTCTGCTCCCTGGACTTGGAAAGCAAAAAGAGGCTTTCTCTTATCCCTTTCAAATGTCCCCATTACGACGGGCATTCCTGACTCCTCCGGCGTTGTTTAATGCTCACTTCACCATTGACGCTGGTCCTCGCACTGTCATCCCGCCTTCTCTTTGTCTTCCCAGTCTGTTCAGAAGATACAGGGCTTCAGTTGAATTGCAAATGACTGAAAAATATACATTAAGATAATTTCCTATAAAGGAAAACTGATAGAAATATTGTGAAAAGAAAAATCAAATCATGGACTCTACACAGCCAGTGAGTTTGGCCGTGTCGTCCAATGGCATAAACTGACATCATCATTTAGATACATGCAGTTAATATTGTTATGTAATCTTGCTTTTTTGCACATGGCATTTTACCTTACTTTAACAGAGATCAATGGGTGAAAGAATCAACCTAACCACTAGAGGTCAGTATAACATTGAAGAAGTACATGAACAATCCAGCCAGACAATTTTACAAATAAATAAACATAAACATTTTTTAAAACATCCTTCTAATGTAAAACTTTTAAATCTATGGCTCGTGTAGTAAACACCAAATCATTCTGACATTATTCTAGCACATAGTGGTGGATGTCTTCAGAGTGCACGAGTATCTCACATCATGAAATACGAAATGGCTGAAAACTAGTTGTAAATGCAAACGTTTTGACAGGTGTGACAGAATGTGGTTGTCCTTAAAAGATGAAAAATGTAAAATTGTCTTCCCCACTTTCTAACAGTTCTGAAGTTTAGTTGCTATCGGTGCCAGGAAAGCATCAGAAAAAAAGTGTTTTAAATGGGGCTATATGAATATTTGTTAGATTAATTACATTATTATTATTAATTATTATTACTTATTTTTTTAAGTATTTTTAAGTACATTTACTTGAAAGGATCATAAACATGTCAGAAAAGAAAAGGAAAAAGAAAGGAAAGGAAAAGAGAAAAACACAAAAACAAGTCATGCTGACTTTCTAAATTTGTCTACAGACCTTGGCGTCCCGTTCTGCAAATTTCTGGAACATGTTAGCATAGGTCTTTTTGTCTTTTTCATGATGTTCCTTAATCTTGCTTTGACAAATGGAAATCTGAGCACGAGCTGCTCGGTTTGCTGA